TGTGTGTGTGTGTGTGTGTGTGTGTGTGTGTGTGTGTGTGTGTGTGTTACTATATTGTTTGAAGATGCTGGTCACAGCTCTGGATGATTCCTTTACATAGTCCTGTTAGCAAGAGATCCTTTACAAGTCATGTTGAAAATGCTGGCTCTAGCCCTGCTCCTTCCCAATGTCTAGCACCTGCTTCACCTCTGGCTGGTCAGAGCTGTTCTGCTCTGGTTCCCACAGTGTGCTGTTCAGGAGAGTTTAGGCTAACCAAGCCACTGATCCAGTATGGTAGTCCTTTTAAAACTGGAATCTCACAGGGCCAGCAAAATGACTCAGCGGGTAAAGGTGCTTGCTACTCAGCAGAAGGACTTGAGTTCGATATTCAGAACCTGCATGATGGAAGGAGAAAATTGATTCCCATAAATTGTCAACTCATGATGTGTGTGACCCCCCCAACAATAAATGTTATAAATAAATGAAAATTTAAAACTGTCACTTTCCCACTATGCTGGTTCAGTGAGAAGAAAGGGTTTTCTGCTCCTCCTCTTTTGCTCTCAGAATGAGAAACATTTTTATCCCCACCTCTCTTTTTTTCTGTTATTTAAGATGTGTGTTACTGGAAGTACAGTGCAGTTTTCTGAGATGTTCTACCTTCAGTTACGGTCTAGTCAGCATCAGCTCTTGCCCTCTCTGTAACCGAGAGGAAAGAGCACCATAAACCAGGCCAATCTCCCCAAGATGGACTCTGGACTTTTGTTCTGCTCTGTAAATGTCCTTATTTTCCTTTGCTACTGGAACTGGAGAATCTGGATAAATGTTATTAACTTTCCTCAGTTTATTCCTTCGACATTATATCCAACTGTATTGGCATGATATCTGCCACCTTGAAAGTCTTTTGTATTTTATAAATATCCCAATTCTGAATAGTAACCAATTAAAATGAATCCCAGTATAAACTATTCCAGTTTTCTAAAGTTTGATGTATCTTTTCTTTTACATTTTCTCAACTCCAGACATTTCTTACAGTTGATGTACAAAACTTAAATGTTCTAGTGTCTGCTTATGCATCTTTCTGCATAATGACATTAGTGCATTACTGTTGATTGTCTCTTTGGTAAAGAAATTCAGCATCAACAACCTTGACTTTTGGTAATATTTCTTGAATTAGAAATAGATGTGGGGCTTGTAAACGAAGCACCATCATTCAAAGTGTGCTTTAAGCACAGGTCCAATTCTGTGCTGAAGACTTCTTACTACAAAAGTATGATTCAATGTCATGTAGAAACTAAAGGATATAAAGGTTGCGCTTTTGTGTTGCTGAGTAATAGGATGACTGTTTGTTTCAAGCTAAAGCTCTAGCATGGAGAAAATAATTTTATTAATTTTAATAAATTAACATACTATGACATTATATTAGATAGCCTTTAGAATTTGATTTTAAGTCCATGAAAATAGGTAAAAGTGGCTAAAAAGGTAATTGAAATGATGAGAAAAATAACGTGCTTTGACTAGCAATACATACCAATGCATATGTGCCAAAGCTGTACTTGAAGACATTTCTTGATTTTGTTCTTTCTCATGACCTTTATCATAAAACATCAGCTTTATCTGGTGCTCTGGAAACTGTTAGGCAAGTCAGCTGGACTAGGGTGAGGTTAGAGTGTGTCCTCTACTCTCTCCTAATGTTGCTTTGTTTCTTCATCATCAACAGCAGTGGGAGCCATGGTGTGGACCTCACCCAAGTGCTTCTGCGCAAGTTTGGAGTTTGGGATCCTCTGTGTGCTGATGGTCAGCTGTAAGTATCTGGTGCCCTCCGCACAGCAGAGATTCCAGCAACAGCTGCTCTGGAGACCCAAGTGTTGCTTCCCTTGAGGGTGGGTTAGTCTGTGTTCCAGCTTCAGCTATGTGGAGTGGAAGTCAGCTTAATGAGCAGGACGTTAATGGGTCTCATTAGCGGCTCTAATTAATGACTCCCATTTTTATGGAATGGCCAGAAATAAACTATCTAATTACTTTTTTCTACCTTTCACAGACACATGCCCTGTAGGACTCAAAAAAGAAAATAGTAGTCTTCATCTGACATAAGAAAACTCAAACCAAAAGGACTTAATAGCAATTAAGCATGAGTTATATATTAACTCTCATTTACTTAAAAAATCTTGTACATATTGATACATTATTTTAAAATTAATAGTTAACACAATGGTAGTTTTCTTTCTATGTCTGGCTTATTTCATTGTTCAAGAACAGTTCTATCATGGTTGCTACATGATTTGATTTTTTTTAATGGCTGAATAATATTCTACTGTGATACATGCCACACTTGTCACGATAAATTTAGTAGCTTGATAGAAATGGGGAAATGCAAACACAACAGTTTTTCTGCAGTAGTAAAAATGAAAAATACCATCTTCACCCATGGCTTTTCTGCGACTATCTCCATGACTGTGTGACCTCAGACCTGCCATTTAAACTTAGCAAACCTTGGTTTCCTTCTGTTGCACCACTTCTTTATCTAACTTACCTATTTTTCGGGTAAATTGAATAATACATTTGCTGAAAGATCAACTTGGGAATGTATATCATGGCATACAAGCAGCTGATATTATTGTTGTTGTTATTTTTACTGAGTATTATTTTGTTTTGTTTATGTCAAGTATCCCAGACTGACCTCAAAGTTAACATGTAGTTGAGTCTGATCTTGAACTCCCTTTCCTTCTTCTGCTGCTTTTCTAGTGCTAGAATCACAGATGTGAGTATCCATCCCTTAAAGGATCTTACTGTGCTGGGATTAAAGGTGTGTGCCTCCATGCCTGGAAGAGTGTTACTATTAATGACATTGAAATTCACAGCTGTCAGATTGCTTTTTTTTTTTCTCCTAGTCTATTTAAATCCTACCCAAACCCTGAGACAACTGAGAGACAGTATCTCATCTTGCACAAGGAAACTGAACTTTACAAAAAGTTTATAAATTCCCTCAGGCCTCCTAAAGGAGAATAAGTGAAAAAGCTAGAACTTCATGATATCACATTTGTAATTACCTCAACACCTTGAACAATCTCTCCACCTGTCTTTCTTGTTGCCTGTCTTCTGGATTATAACTACTATTTATATTTATGGATGAATTGCACACTTGCCTTTTTTTTTGGTAATTTACTTAAGAATCATTTTGAGATTATAGTATAATTACAACATTTATTCTTTCCATTTCCAGGCACTATCATATACCACTCCTTTCTCCCTTTCAAATTTGTAGCCTCTGATTTATTGTCATTACAAATATACCTATAGATATATTCCTAAATATAACCTATCCACTTCTATATTGTTACTTGCATTTATGTTTTCAGGGTTAAACACTTAGGGTTAGATAACAAATTAATATGCTTTCCTTCAGGAAAGACTATTTTTCCCACTCTCAGCATTCCTTAAGTGCCTGTAGGTCTTTGTGTAGAGTTGAGGCTTTCTGCTTTCTCCCATCTACTTTTTTGTATTTATCGGTATTTTCCTTGTTCAGGTCATGTTTGGGCAGTCATGTCGGTGAGACTTAATGTGGTAAAACATAAATCTGTGTTTAAAACTTGGAATCAGTATTTACAAACAACCATGCTGCTTTTAAGCAATGACCTCAAAGTGGCTATATTTAAAGGCATTGCCCTTTTATTCCATATATCCTTTCAGGCCCATGGAATTAGAACTATGACATTTCAGATGTTTAAATTCTCAATTTTTAGTGTTAGGGTTTTTTTCTTTGTCTTGTTTTTTGACAATTTCATACATTTAGTAAAAAAAAAATGTATAAAAATCTAGCCTGTGCTGATTGCTTTGAAGAAGGCTTCTCTGGGCTCTAAGATTAACACCAAGGGGATGCCTGGTGCGGGAACTTTGGTAAGGCACGCCTTGTTTCATAAGTGCCCCCTTTACTGTTATTTTTCCTATCTTTAATTCTTTGAGGATGTACTGCAAATCAAGTGTTATTAGAGGGACCAAGATTAATGTGAAGAACCTACTCCTAAGAAATTTGTAATTACAGATGGAGCAAATGAGGTGAGAGATAAGAGCCTGATAGTGTCCTGGACGCTACATGCCTGTCTTTTCAGTGGTAAACATGGAAACCCAGACCAAAAAATTAGAAATATGTTTCCTGGTTTCTGATGACATATCTTTCCCATTAGTCATGCTGGTAATTAGTTGAGACTGGGTAACTATTAATGGTCTCAGTATGGAAGAATTATGAGAAAATTAATTATGTTGCTTTAGTCTCTTGAAATACAAAGTGATTTATTCAGTGAAAGGTTCAATGATGATGTTTTCATTTTCTTGTCTGTATTATAAACACACAGGATGTAAAACACACATGCATCAGGGGAACCAAAATGGGAACACATCTGACCCAGCCTTGGCCGAAAGTTGTATTAAGAAAAGAACGATTAGCAGAAAAATAGGACAATTCTTTTATTAATCCCTCAAAAGGAAAACACCCAGGTGAAATCAATGCTTTATGAATGGCAGTATATATTCACAATTTTGTCTGGACATCCAGCTCCTTTATAGTGATGCCAGTTTGCCACTCCCCACCCCACTCCACTACAGTCTCTACCTCCCTTCCTTGTCTAGAGCTCAGGATAAGCTAGCAGTCTAAGTTGGTGGTGACAGTGGTTCCTGGTGCCTGGCACTACTTCTGGCCAAGCTCATCTGTGAAGATGAATGTGAAGATCAAGAATAGAAAGTACAGAGCATGAATCTGTGGCACCCATGAACTTAGTTTGACCTTGGAACAAGATGGCTTGTAATCTTAAGATGGAATCAGGCTGGTCCATCAATAGCAAAATACTTGGGGCAGGATAGGGTTTTAGAAAAGAAGGTTTATTTAGCACAGAGTTCTGTTGCTGAGTAAGAACATTCATGTGAGCGTCTGTGTGGCCCTCTCTGGTGAGGAGCATGATGGTTGATTTGACAATGATGGTTGTATGTGAAACAGAGTGCATGGCAATGTAGCTAGCTAGAGCTACAGGGCCAGGCTATTTCTGCACTCTCACAGGCGAAGTCAGTGGAGTCCCATGGTAACAATATGAGTCCATTCAAGCCCTCAGTGATTGAGTTACTTTTGCACCAGGCCTCCCTTCTCAAATAGTCTTCCCTTCCCAACATCACTTCCCCGAGACGGGGCTTTTTCACACATGGGCTTTCCAGAATGGGCCACATCAACACTACAGACCTCAATATCTGTCACTCAAGACACCTACAGCAAAACCCCCTCCTGGGAATAAGAGATGCAAAGACTCATTCTTTTTCTAACAAAAGTAATTAGATTACAGCCATCTGGTTAAAAAAAATCAACTCCCTTAAGCATTGTTTCCCTGTTAACTTATGAATCCCTAACTGAAACTCCTATGAGCTAATTATCCAAACAAAACAAAACAATTAATAGTAGGGAAGTCTGTGGTTGCCTTTAGCATTGAGGAAATTGTATGGAAAATATATTTGCTGGTCAGGTTAACAGAATCGACGAGTGTCTTTTTGACAGGCTGACTTTTTCCAGTCCTGTCTTCCATTGGAGCAACACACCTCTACAGGACAGCCCTTCTGCTGTGTGACCAGCTCGTGGCTTAAGCTCTTAAAGCTGCCACCCTTGCCTTGAGCTCTGAAAATCAGGGTGAGGAGGGGATATGGCAAAAATATCTAGTTGGTACCTGTGGGTGAGTGAATGTCCATTTCACCTCCTCTCAGTATTTGAGTACTTCAGACTAATGATCTGCACTAAAGTAAAAGTTGACTTAAAATTGTTTGATCTGCACTAAAGTAAAAGTTGACTTAAAATTGTTGTAAAAAAAAAAAAACCTTAACAATTTAATGTCTGGAGCTCTCAAAGATAAAAATTTACAGAGAAAATAGGGCTGAAAAGCTATTCTACAACTAGCCAGATATCTCAGTAGGTAAAAGTACTGTGTCCAAGCCCAAAGACCTGAGCTTGATTCCTGGGACCCACGTGATGGAAGGTGAGAACTAACTAACTAACTAACTAACTAACTAACTAACTAACTAACTAACTAACTAACTAACTAACTCGCACTATGGTTCTCTGTCCTCCACACATGCAGTATAGCATGGTGCATATGTGTGTGTAAACACACATAAAGAGTTAGATTAATAAGTGAATGTAGGAAACAATATGAGTTGTTTATTTAATGCTACTCACGGTCTCCCCAACCCTCACAATGTTTCATCATGTGCAAATTTAGTTGTAGCTTTTCTTTAAGGGATTAAGGTACTGTGACATGACATAGAAATGAATAAACATTTTAGTCTAATGCAATTAATAGCCAATTACTGGTTGCTTCTTGTATCTGGTTATGATCTGAGAGTCTTGAGGTCTGCCAACAGCTCTAGCTCTGGGAACTCACAGAGGCTCTGCCTGCAGCACACTCAGCGTGAGCAGCCAAGTAATCCTCATGTCACATCATAGAATACTGGCTTCGTCACAAAACATTATCATCAGATTAGTGGCTTGAACTGTGAAAACAAATGCCGGAGGTCCGCCTTAGTGGCAAGGAGGTGGTCATCTTGTGAATGGTGTTCTATTGTAACAGAACTTGCTTTTATGAAAACAAAGTACTTCATGCATCAAACAGTCTTTCAAATTATACACTCCCTCCCCTTTTTTTCTTTAGGACGAATTTTTCAAGCTGGCATAGAGACCCTTATTCTGGTCCAGAATTCAAGGACTCATGTGGCTGCCTGGTATGTTTCTGAAGAACCCTTGATCGTTTGAAGTATAAACCTCAAATTAAAAAAGAAAGAAAGAAAGAAATGAGTACCTTTCATCTGCCTAATTCTCATTTTTTGTTGCTTAAGTCTCATAATGTCTGTATTTACTTACTAGGCTAGTTTTGGAACGTTTTCATTCCTTACAGTGAACATGGAGCAGCTCACCCACCTACTTCGCTGTCTGCTTGTTCCCTACTCACACTTCTTAATCATTATCACGTCTACTGGTATACACTGAGCATCTAAGTCCTCTTCAGAAAAAGATGAAGCTAGACTTCCCCTTTGGAGGAAATCTCTTCTGATCTCAAGACAGGCTGGCCTCAAGGCTTTCTTCATAATTTTATTCAAGTTCTGAGAACTATTTATTAAAACCTAAGCTAAGACTTATGATTTCTAATATGATTGATGAATACAAAATACTATAAAGTAGACATTATGCTTTTGAGGTGAAGGCCATAGCTTCCTTGCCTATGAAGGGCAATGAACAAATTTATTTGGAAAATTGATTGCAGTTCATCTCAGAGGAAATATCAGAAGGCAATTAACGAAAAGTTTAGATCTGTTACCTACAACCAGCTGTCAAATGCGGGATCTTGCCTATCACACACAAAGCCCTAGGTTTGAATCCCAGCATCACATGGGCATGATGGTTCTGCCTGCAATGCCAAGATTCTTCAGGGAAACAAAGAAATCCTCCCTCATCATCCATAAAGGAAATGACAGTAGGGAGAACACATCATGGGCCTTTTTACTTAGTGGCCCATGGGGCCCATTTGCTCCAGTGGTTTAGTTACTTTAGAGAGTTGACAGCTGGAGGCGTTCATCCTTTTTCTTCTCACAGACAAAACTCAGGAAGTAAGAGAGAAGACAGTTTGGCTGCACAGTGGGGACTGTGAGGATGGGCGGCTCTATGTTAGCAAACATCATGTTTTCATTGTGGTGTTTTCATTGTGGTGAGGGAACTCACCTGCATGCCTCACTTCTTTGCACTGGCCAAAGGTCTTTTTTATTTTTTTTATCTGTTTCAGTTCTTCCATTTTTATCATGAAACAGCTAACACTGTGCTCTAAGCTCTTGCTCCTGAGTCTAAATTTAATCATTCTTTAAACAGTAGTGGCTTTTCTTACCATAAGCCCAAAGTCTGTTAGGGTTAGATAGAGTGTCAAGGGGATAGGGAGAATGAGTGAGTATCAGAATGGTATTATGTTCCCCATTTCAGCCCAACTCACATGACATAATAAGATTAGTATGCACACAAGAAAGATGCCGAAAAGAGCACCCTCTGTTGGCAAACATGCCTCAGGAGTGGTGGCGAAAATAGCATTACTATTGTTTTTCTAAGAATCTGCTGCATCTGACTTTTGTTTGAATAGGCAGCAGGGTGGAGAATATGCAACATTCTCAGCAAATGCTCTGACTGAAGACTCTGCTTTCCACTGCTCTTCCTCCCTATACTCCCCTTCCTCCACCTCCTTCCTCTTTTTTCCCCTCCTCCTCCCACTCCTTGTGCTGCTTTCTGATACTTCTGCTTCTTTTCCTTTATTTTTGTTTTTATTTTTATTTTTGTGTGACCTCAGTGTTCTGTGGAATACACTTTGAGGAACATCAGTCAATTCGTTAAAGATTCAAGGACCTTAGGAAAGGGAGTTGAGACATGAATCATAAATATCCCAAAGGTAACTCAGGGTTACGTCTAAAGAGACATGGGAAAGTGTGCAAGGGACAGGTATATATCCAAACTTAGCTCCTGTAAAAGCATCTTTTATTTGCCTGATGTCATTGTCACCTTTGAGGCTTCCTGCCTCTGTCAGCTAACCTAGGTTTAGTCCTGGAAGCTTCTAGTGTCCATAAAATGTATCTAGGCCTGGAATGTTTTCAGCCTCTAAGACTTAGTGTTGAATACGCTCACCCTTTCTATCTCTTTCTCAATTCTTACTGGGTGCTTCAATTCAGTTCTTCTGTCCTAAACTCCTCTCCAATATGGTTTATTTCAGTTACTTACTGTATTTCTATGATTGGCCTGAAACAGATTGGTAATTTGTTCTAATCTTCTGGCTCTTTCTCATTCCCCATCTCGATTTGTCTTCACCTGTGTCTAGCTTATTCTCTCTTCAACTTGTCTCTGTAAACTCTCCCATTAAAACTGTTTCTGAGTGGGGATTTAGCTCAGTGGTAGAGCACTTGCCTAGCAAGCGCAAGGCCCTGGGTTCGGTCCTCAGCTCTGGAAAAAAAAAAAAAAAAAGACAAAACTGTTTCTGAATTCCATGAACTGAACTAGCACAAACTCAACTCCACTGCACTGCCTCTCAGTTTACTGACTCAACTGCACTGCTTGAGCAGAACTGACTAGAACTCAGAGATCTTCATGCTTCTGTCTCCTGAGTGCTGAGATTAAAGGCATATAGCACCACACCTGGACCTAAGCTTTTCTTTACCTGAAACTTGCTCTATATCAGGCTGGCCTTGAACTCAGAGGTCTGCATGGCTCTGTCTCCCAGAGAAAGGCATTTCTGTATTTCAGTGGAATCACACAGACCTCGAAGGTCTTTGGATGTGATCTCTTCTGAGAACAGCCATGTTCTGAATTTAAATTCCTCTACAAATTCCCTTTCTTCGATTGATCATGCTACTCTTGGTTAACTGTTTGACAGAAGGCCAAATATATACTCCCTATAAGTTCTGATCTTCAGAAGCTCTGGGTCCCCCCTATTTCATCATATGCATATCTACTGCATATTGCCTCTTTCCAAGTACAGAAATCCAGTTGTTACTTTGAAGAGACAGCACTAAGAAATTGCCAAGGGTGTTCAGAATCTTGTAGGCCCTGAAGAATGAACAGGAAGTATTCAGACTGAGCAATAGTTAATAACAGCTATAATGTAGACAGTATCCCATCATCAGTCATGGATGTGGCCTTGTGTAAAACTCCAGAGGGATGCTGGATGTACCTCATGCTGATGCTGCACATTGATATATGCTGGCTAGCTTAAATAAGCAACTTTGTCCTCCCAAGTTCTGGGGTAGTAGTGTGTTCTAAAATCATAGTATGTGGTAGTAGGCTGCAGGGGAGAATTCCTGGCTTACTTATGATAATATCAGCTGACATTTGTTGGACTGTGGCTACAAATGTCCAGTGTAGGGCATTGTGTTACCTTATTATCTGTCACTCTTGTCTAATCTCCCCTACCTCCCTCTTACAGAGACACAAATGATGCCAATAGGGTCCACCCTGACCATCCTGGATGACTCCTCCAGTGGAGATCTGTAACTTAATGACAGTCTTCTCATTCATTGACACATATGGTGGCATTGGTAGATTCCAGGAACAAGAACCATCATTAGGAAATCATCATTAGGCTTACCACGAAAGATATATTTGAGGGATATAGTTCAAGGGTAGAACATTTGACGACAAAAGGTGTATTTCTAGGTAACAAGACACACAAGAGTTAGGAAAGGTCGCTAAATACATTTTCTACTGGGTTAGAGTTCTTCATAAAACTTTGATTTTCTTAGTAAGGGACTTATAAAAATACAGATTGCACTTTTAAAAGATACATGTTGATTCATAGTCATAAGGAGGATTATAGAAAAATACCAGAGGCAGGGAAACTTTAAAGTTCTTGAATTTGTGAATAAGGTACTTGAATTTGGTTAAATTATTCATCTATCTATTTTAAATGCTAAGCAGAAATCTTATGCACTTGTGATGGTCAGCATAACATTCCACATGTTGTGGAAGGCAAGTTATTCCTGAAGGAATGAACATCTATCTATCTATCTATCTATCTATCTATCTATCTATCTATCTATC